GCAATGTTGGTGGGGGAGGGGAGGGCGGGGGTATTGCAAGATGATTTGGTTTTATCCACTGAGTTGACAATAAATTAGCCACAGGAAAGAATTGCCACAGCTGAAATTTCGAGGGTTAGCCCATTGCCATTCCTTGCACCAGCTTTACAATCTCTCTACGGTGGCGAGTTATATAATAAACTTAGACGATAAAACCAAGTCACACTGTCGATCAGAACAGTCTTAGTCATTTTCAAATTTACAATAGATCACATAACACTTAGTCTGCCGCGCCATTCAATCTGTGTGAGAGATAGGTATTCACCCAGTCATAAAAAAAAAAAAAAAACATGGTCGCTTTCCGGTTTAGGTGGCTTACACAATTTTCCCGCGCTTGCTTTTTGTCATCTGCACTCTTAGCTTTGAAATTAAAAGTTAGAAGGGCTTTAAAAGCTACTTCGAGCATTGCTCAGGGAAAATGCAAATTTTTTTGTATAAAGAATATTTTGTACTTCACAAATACACGTGTAATGTTTTTTAATTACGCAGCTTAATGTGTTTATTTGTAACTTAAAATTTCTTTGAGAACTTTCCTGTAAAGGTTTTATTTTTTATTTTTTTGATTTATTCAAAATCTTATTAAATCCATGATTGCCCAAGATAATATCTTTTCCTTTTGTTTCCTTGGTTTCCTCGTTTTTTTTTTTTATTTTTTTTTCACTTTCTTTTGAAGCTTTTAATTGGTAATGCGGGAATAAGCTAACAAATCTTAGAAAAGAAACTCCTTTTTGTTCTCTCATTCAAGGTAACTTAAAAAAGAGTCATATCTTTGCCAAAAAATGGTTTTTGACTGAGTATACGAAACCTTCTCTCTTAATAAAGACGTAACTTTCAGCCTGAACTTGCTAATGATAGCGTATGCCGTAAAATTAGACATACGGGCAGGAACTAATTTTTAAAATTAATAAATTTGAGCCTACCACTGTTGGAATTATTGGCTTCCCTGTTGATTTCCCTTGCAATTTGCAGTTGTTCTGTGTCGGTGGTCGACTGCTGGAAGTGACGAGAAGACACACGCATTTCATTGAAGGAGTCCGCCGCGAGGCTGTACGAGGGTGAATGCAAAGTCAGCACAGGATTCATGGGAAACTCCAAATGGGAATCAGGGCACAGTTCCCCCGGGTAAACACAGTAGGGCCGAAGGGGTATGCGGCGATTCCCTGGCAGGGAGCACAGGGAGCAGACAACCCGAGTTGGGTGAACCGTCAAACGATATCTGCTGTTGTGAAACATCTTACTCGCCGAGTGTTACGCTTTTGCACGGGCGATGAATTTTAAGACGCAGTTCGTTCCCTTAGAAACTGTGAATCGATCGTAAGAACTCATAGTGCAATTATCGTAGTATCGCTTACATAATGAAGCAAAAACACATTTAAACAGTGCCTTTCATGGGAAATGATGAGATTTCGCCTCTTCTAAGTGTAATCATATATTTGTTAGCCATCACGTAGACAATTTATTACCGACCTTGATCGAGTAGAGCACAGTTTTTTCGGTTCTCTAATATAGATGACTTTTCTGTCATCATTCTATTTTGAGATTCTACTCTTGGACGTTTAACCGCTCTTAAATCTATTAATTTCTGGTGTTATGATTAATTACCAGTGAACCAGTTTTCAATGTACACATGTCAAAAGATTACTTTATTGTTAACTGTAACAAAGATGAATATAACTACGGAATATCCCCACTGACTGGCGCCATTTGCCGTAACACAATGCAACTTGATTTTCGCTCGGCTACGTGGTTTTAAGGCTAATCTCAACTCAGCTGCGCATACCATTTTCCTGTTCAAAACTTTATAATCTATGGATCTCTATTTAAAGTATGCATTAATCATGTCGGTATTATAGGAGACAGAAGCGTGTTTTTACAACTTTCTCAAAATTTAAAGCAATCTTTGTTTCTCCGTGCAATTTACATTATACACGCATTTCTTTGTTTTTTAAAATTGTATTTTGAACGATAAAGTTTGCGTTTAATCGCGTTTCCTGAATTAAACTGGACTTGACATTCTTAATTAAAATCATGGAAAATTGATCCGTAAAATTAGGATACTTCGCTGAAAGTGTCTTCGCTAAAGATCTGATTTATTTCAGTTATTTGTAACTATAGATATCAATCAGAAGTTCTTAATAAAATTTTGTTGTTAAACGCGTTCGTTAGAAGAGATTGTAATCTCTTAGTACGTTAGCAAACTGTTGAACTAAAAATTGTGGTAAATTTGATGCTTGTGGTAAAATTGATGCTTCGATATACTATTTACTCCTAAAGTAAAACAGTAACCTATAGGTGAAAACCGATTTGTCTCTACCTTGTTTACTTATGTTGAAGGCCACACACAAATCATGAAAACATAGCAGCAAAAATGAGAGCTCCGGGTAAGCTCGTTTTCAATAGCTCCAGTTTACATACGCGTATTAGCTAGATTTAACGCCACAGCGTTTATTAAATATTAAGCGTTTCCAACGCAGTGTTAATTCAAGAGCGGCAGTGATTCGCGTGCGTTGTTTGTCTCAAAGTCACATTTCTCAAACCACTAACAACGATCACAACAAATCACTTTTAAATATTATGTGAAACAGAAACCTGTTTAAAGTTCCAACTTAACGCTTTTTTTCGCAATATGAATTTCCAGGGACTGCAGGATGATGTTGATTATTGCATTCTCTTGAAATGGTGCGGGTTTATTCGAGGCAGCCGTTAGTGGTAATTTTGCTTCCATCCGCGGGCGTTCAACCAAGGGCGGCATTTGATCTAGAGTTTCTTAATCAGATTAAATGAATGGTTAAGGAACATTCACGTACCTGGCAACCGATGGAAACCCTCAAACCCTTACCAAAAACAAAACAAAAAACAAAAATAAAGCACACACGTTTCTTTCGATCGCCAATTGAAAATTGCTCTTAAAACCAGTTACTGTTTTCGCGATTCAAACATGCCTCAAACAACATCCTGTTTTTAAGAAGAGTCTTAAAATCCTGGTTTTTTTGTTTTTTCTGTTTGTTTTTTTTTTTGCAATGACACCTCTAGATGCATCAAACTCGCAATGTTTTACCCGCTGTTTACCAACTATTTATTTTCATTCTTCAAAGCAAACAGGCGTATAAATATAAATGTCACTTGAATCCTACAGGTTTATTTAATTAATAACTTGCATTCTCATTATCAGCACTTTTATTCCTTCAATAAAATGTAATAAATTTGAAAACAAGAAAGACAAAAAACATTTCACATTCAGCGAAGAGAGCTGATGCGCTATCATAAATCTTAGCGAGCATTTCTCTGCCTGGAAAAAATTGTGTTCTTTAAAGTATCTTTATAAAGTATTTCTCGTTTTTTCAGTGTTTTCTCAACAATTTTTCCCCTCTTGTATCCCATGTGACCTAGAAAATGTTAAAAGACTCTTCAGGCGCTTTTTTTTTTATTTACTATTGCCTTAAGAATGTCTAATGCTTATGCTTTAGGTGCAGATCAATGGCTAAAAAAAACCTCAGCTTGTGATTATACGTTGCCAAAAGAAATAAAAGCTTGTTGATCTAGGTAATGGTTTGAATGTTTTTCAGTATGAATTTATCCTGCTCACAGAACTGTCTCGCGGAATATGTCTTCATAGAAAGGGCTGACCTCTCCACTTTGCTCTTCCAGATCTGCTTCCTCATACAACTTAGACAAATGTCGCGACTTCCATACTCGGATTGTGTGGTCATCACTTGCACTGACCACCATTTCTTGATTAACTGGGTTAAATGCAACACAGTTCACCACATTAGTATGTCCCTTCAGAGTGGCCAGCTTGGCTCCAAAATGTCTGTCCCACACATGAGCACAATGGTCCTCTGCTCCACTATAAAATAAAGAGTAATAAAACTTATGTGATCTCTATATCAGGGGGGAGGGGGTGTACTTCCCAGTAATAGGCTAATGAGGATGTGCCGCTGGATGGGGTTGCATTTTTGCCACTGGATCGACTACCATGGGGTTACATTTTCAAGAGAGTTGCTAGGATGGGGTCTAACATTTTCAGGATTTTGGGGAAGGAAAATTTTGGTGAGAAAGGATTTTAAAATGTAATGTTTTTAAATATTCATAGTAGACAAACATACCAGAACATTTTTGTTGTAAGTGAAAAGTAAAGTTTAACAGAATGTGTCAATTCATTTTTATAATGACCCACTTAAAATGCTTTGTAAGATAGATGCATAGACAACAAGTGACAAGATGGGGTCTATGATTGGCCACAGAACAGACTCTCATGAGGTATGGATTCTGAGAGGTCAGACAGGGATCCAGCCAAAATTGATCTATTCCCACCCCCTCCCTCCCCTTCCTAGTGTTTATTGTCTTTCACATTCAAATTCAAGAGTTGAAGTAAAATTTGAAGACCTCCATATAGGAGTTTGTGTTCTTTCCTTGCACCACACTAATTACTTTATGACTATGTTTATGCATAAGAATCTTTCTCTTATGCTGGATTATGGTTAGGGTTGTGGTATTATGCTGTTAAAGTTTTGAAATGAAAGGATGTTGTTGAAAAGTATGGTGCTGTGTATTAAGTTTTTGAGTCTACAGGTGTATGTTGTCAGTACAGCCTACTGTGTGACATCCTTTGTTTATCACATGAGTAGCTAGCAAGCCATGCAAATTATGGTGAAGGTAATACATTATTGGTTAAGCTCATCAAAGGCTCATCCCTGTATACACTGTGCAACCTTGTCAATGCTTTGGATATGATCTAATCCTTGTGGCACATGTACGTTTCACTGTGTTGCCAGTGAAACCACTTTATCACCAACATCTTCATTTTACCTTTAATTATTCCAACAAGAATGAATTCTCTGTTGCTTAGTGGCATACGTATGTTGTGTCAGATGATCTTATACTCAAAGAACACTCAGGTTTGTTCTTATCTTGCAATTCTCAATTGATCTATATTTTAAATTCTTTAACTTACCTTGCAACCAACTGGTCTGCAACATTCAAAAAAATAAAGAAACAGCCATTATTTGCAGTGTATGCTTTATGGCCACTGTGGACATCAACAAGTTTATATGTGGACAAGCTGTACACCTGCAAGGTAATATCATTGGAAATTTCTGGAGGAAATTGGGCTGCGTCGTCGACAACATTGCCAGCTGGCTGCTCCCACATGCGACAATTCACGTACAGATACTGATGGTCTGGTGATAGGCTCATTCCGATTATATGTGCATTTGTTTCAATGTAGTGCTCTTTCCTGGTAAAAGGCTCATACCCCTGAGAAGAAATTCCTTTACCCTGCTCAAATTTTTTTGTACTGCCCTTTGGTAATTTCAGCCACTTAAAAACTATCTGATGAGGGACATAGGTAACAGTTCCATGTGTAAATATCAGGCAGACATCCTCATCTTTCTTCTTTGCTGCAGAAGCATATGTGTGTGGTAGAGCATTAGCATTTGGGTGAGCCACTAGAACCGTCCTCACAGAGCTTGAATTGTGATTCAAAATTTGAGCGAGGTTCCTTTGATTTTCTGTTGATTCATCCACATAATTTGCCCAAAGCTCGGAGATTGATGACCCATCATTTTCAGGTTCCATAAATTCAAATGTCCCTGAGATGTAACACCTTTCTGTAAGCCATGCTCCAAACACATCATACGGTTCATTGTTTATACCATGCACTAAAGCAATCACAGAAAAGTTCTGTACTTCACAAATGAAAATTTCACCTACAAGAATAAAACAGAATTATGGTAATTATTACCTATAAAAACTGAGATTGCAGACTCTTTGCAAGGCACTTTACTCTCTCAGTAACACTGCAAGAGAATACATACCATAAGGCAGCCTCATGTGGGTTTATATTGAAATTAAGAAATGTAGTAGCAGAGGGTACTAAAGAGGAATTTCTTCCTTCAATATCAATACATTTTTAAGCAGATAGGTGACAAGGAGCGAGGAGAAAATTGATTATAGGCTGGAGTTTGATAAAGCATCAAATTCTCAAAGCCATAATCATGAGAAATGTGTGAAAAAACAGTACAGAGAATAGATAATTAGATCATGGGAGTGAATCTCAAAAAGTTCAGGGTATCAAAATGTACTCTTGAATTCTGTGAACAGTGTATATGTACACAACAAGTACACAACCTGTAGCTGATGGAAAATTTCCCAATCTCTGATACAAAATAATTACCTTGGTAAACCCTTTCACCCTCAGGATCACATTGTTAATTCTCCTCTCTAACTGCTAC